ATATAAGGCTGAAACTGGAGTGACGGTGTGGACTGGAAAGAGATCATCACCATACAGAAAAAACAAGGAAGTAATTTTTTTTTTCTATTTTAAGTCCAGTTAGTTAACATACTGTGTTATCTTAGTGTCAGGTGTACAACACCAATACATCACCCTGCCTTCATCAGGACAAGGACATTCCTTAATCCCCATCCCCTATTTAACCCATCCCTCTACCCACCTTCCCTCTGGTAACCATCAGTTTGTGCTCTGTAATTAAGAGTCTGTTTCTTGATTTCTCTCTCTCTCTCATTTTTTTCTCTTTGCTTGTTTGTTTTGTTTCTTAAATTCCACATGAGTGAAATCATATGGTATTTGTTTTTCTCTGACTGACTTATTTCCCTTAGCTTATACACTCTAGCTCCATCTATGTCATTGCAAATGGCAAGATTCATTCTTTTATGGCTGAATAGTATTCCACTGTATATATATACCGCCTCTTCTTTATCCATTCATCAGTCAATGGACACTTGGGCTGCTTCCATGTCTTGACTATTGTAAATAATGTGCTATAAACATAGGGGCACATGTGCCCCTTTGAATTAGTGTTCTTGTATTCTTTGGATAAATACTCAGTAGTGCGATTGCTGGACCATAGGTAGCTCTATTTTTAACTTTTTAAGGGACCTCCATACTGTTTTCCACAGTGGCTGCACCAGTTTGCATGCCCATCAATAATGCCAGAGGGTGCTTCTCATGGTTCCAGTAGGGAGAGAAGGAGGAAGCGGGGGGGGGGGGTTGGAGTCCCCCCCCGGCCCCGCCCCATGGCTTCTGCCACAGCTGCCCCCACTCCTCTGTGTGGGAAAGGAAGGTGTGAGTCCCAGCTGGAGCTGGGTGCTGCTGCGGGACGGTGGGAAGACAATGGCAGATACAGATAAACTCAACATGGACAGCATCATCCAAGGATTGCTGGATGTGAGCAGGTCCAAGCCTGGTCCGAATGTCCAGCTACAGGAGAATGAAATCTGAGGACTGTGCTTAAAGTCCCGAGAGATCTTTCTCAGTCAACCGAACCTACTAGAACTTGAAGCACCACTCAAAATATGTGGGATGTCCACGGGCAACACTATGATTTGCTTCAACCTTTTGAGTACAGTGGTTTCCCACCAGAAAGCAACTACCTGTTTCTTGGGGACTACGTGCACAGGGGGAAGCAGTCATTGGAGACTCTGTCTCTTACAGACTTACAAAATCAACTATTCCGAGATTTTTTTTCTTCTCAGAGAAGAGAGGCCCATGAATGTGCCTGGATCAATAGAATTGATGGATTATGATGAATGTAAAAGAAGATATAACCTTAAACTATGGAAAACTTTCGCAGACTGCTTTAAACTGTTTACCGATAGCAGCCATTGTGGATGAGATGATATTCTGCTGTCACGGATGTTTATCACCAGATCTTCAATCTATGGAGCAGATTCGGGGAATGATGCGACCAACTAATGTACCAGATCAAGGTCTTCTTTGTGATCTTTTGTGGTCTGACCCTGATAAAGATGTTTTAGTCGGGGGTGAAAATGACAGAGGAGTGTCCTTCACATTTGGTGCAGAAGTGGGTGCAAAATTTCTCCATAAGCATGATTTGGATCCTATACGTAGAGCCCACCGGGTGGTTGAAGACGGATATGATTTTTTTTTTTTTTTTTTTTTTTTGCAGAAAGGCAGCTGGTCACTCTGTTTTCTGCACCCAATTATTGTGGAGAATTTGACAATGCAGGTGCCATGAGTGTGGACAAAACTCTAATGTGTTCTTTTCAGATTTTAAATCCTGCCGAGAAAAAGAAGCTGAATGCCATGAGACCTGTAACACCTCCAAGGAGTATGATCACAAAGCAAGCAAAGAAATAGATGTAATTTTGACACTGCCTAGTTGGGACTTGTAATAGAGAGTATATAACCTTCATTTTTAAAACTATGATGTGGGGCTCCTGGGTGGCTCAGTTGGTTAAGCGACTGCCTTCGGCTCAGGTCATGATCCTGGAGTCCCGGGATCGAGTCCTGTGATCGAGTCCCGCATCGGGCTCCCTGTTCCGCAGGGAGTCTGCTTCTCCCTCTCCCACTCCCCCTCCCCGTTTGTGTTCCCTCTCTTGTTTGTGTTCCCTCTCTCGCTGTGTCTTTCTCTGTCAAATAAATAAATAAAATCTTTAAAAAAAAAAAACTGTGATGTGTATTGGTCAGCTTACTCAAATAGTGTGTTTGTGAGGCCCCACTTCCATTTTTTGAGTTAATGAATGGCATTTGCTGATTATAACAGCAAATGAAAGACTCTCCACTCCCAAGAAAAAAATGTTTTGTTTTTTTAAATTCTGTAGTCCTTTTGCAAACAACTGTAATGATGGTGTTAAAGCTGTACGCCCCAGAACAGTTTATCCTAAGAGGTAAGTATACAATTGATCTTTTTAAAATTCAGTTCAACCCATGAATGATGAAATGCTCATTTTCTTTAGGATATAAAGAGAGCCCTAGGGTGCTCCATCTGTGCATGTTATTGTCATAAAATACATACCGTTGATGCAAACCACTGTGAACACTTTTTAAAAATTTTGTTTCAAAAGGAATTGCTTTTTTTCTCTCATTGTCTTGTCATGTACAAACTAGTTTTTATAGCTGTCAATATTAGGGTTAACTCAACGTTGCCAGCATCACTGGTATGATGTATATTTAATTATACTTTACCCTACCATATTCTCAAAATGACGATTAAAGCCATTATTTAAAAAAAAAAATAGTGCAAGAGGGTTCCTTTTTCTCCACATCCTCACCAACACCTGTTGTTTCTTGTATTGTTGATTTTAGCCATTCTGACAGGTGTGAGGTGATATCTTATTGTAGTTTTGATTTGCATTTCCCTGATATGTGATGATGAGCATCTTTTCCTTTTTCCCCCCAAATTTTTATTGAAATCCTAATTATTTAATATATAATGTAATATTGATTTCAGGAATAGAATTTAGTGATTCATCATTTACATACACCACCCAGTGATGAGCATCTTTTCATGTGTTTGTTGACCATCTGGATGTCTTCTTTGGAAAAATGTGCATGTCTTCTGCTCATTTCTTAACTGGATTATTTACTTTGGGGGTGTTGAGTTTTATAAGTTCTTTATGGTTCTTGGATACTAACCCTTTATTGGATATGTCATTTGCAAATATCTTCTCCCATTCAGTAGGTTGACCTTTGGTTTTGTTGACTGTATCCTTCACTATGCAGAAGCTTTATACTTTGATATAGTCTCAATAGTTTATTTTTGCTTTTGTTTCCCTCTCTGGAGACATATCTAGTAAGAAGTTGCTACAACCGATGTCGAAGAAGTTGCTGCCTGTGTTCTCCTCTAGGATTTTGATGGTTTCCTGTCTCACATTTAGGTTTAATCCTTTTTGAATTTAATCCATTTTGAATTTATTTTTGTGTATGGTGTAGAGAAGTGGTCCAGTTTCATTCTTTTGCATGTGGCTGTCCAGTTTTCACAGCACCATTTTTTGAAGAAAGAGTCTTTTTTCCAGTAGATAGTCTTTCCTGTTTTGTCGAAGATTAATTGACCATATAATCGTGGATTTATTCCTGATTTTCTATTCTGTTCTATTGATCTGTGTGTCTGTGTTTTTGTGCCGGTATCATACTGTTTTGATTACTACAGCTTTGTAATACAACTTGAGGGTGGAATTGTGATGCCTCCAGCTTTGTTTTTTCAGCATTGCTTTGTTTATTCAGGGTCTTTTGTGGTTCCATACAAATTTTAGGATTACTTGTTCTAGTTTTCTGAAAAATGCTGGTGGTATTTTGACAGGGATTGAATTAAATGTATAGATTGCTTTGGGTAGTATAGACATTTTAACAATATTTGTTCTTCCAAAGGGAAGTAATTTTTATAGAAAACTTTCAACATATTAGGTACTGTGGCACTATATATTTTAATACCAATTAATTTTGATACATCCAGGGATTATTATCTCTATTGACAGATGAAGGAATTGAGGCTTAGAGAGTTTAAAGTGGCTTAGCCATGGTCAAACAGTAGGTAGGGGTCAAAGGGATCAGTCTACAAAGCCAAAGCCTATGCTCCTCGAATCACCCTGGGCAGCCTCCCAGTTTATGGGAGGCCAGGAGGTTTATCTTCTAGAATACTGATGATGAGATCAGGGCTTGGAATTCTGGGGCACTCCAGCTCTTGAGAAGAGGAGCTAGTGAAAAGGAAAGTCAGAGAAATTTAAGACCCAGTTACCATGGTGCTATGGAAGATAGTGTCCCTGAATGCTTTGAAAAGCAAAAGGATGGCCAGTCATCAAATGATTCAAAAACATCAGGAAGGATGAGGAGTGAATTGGGTTTGGTAATTAGAAGCTCAAGACCGACCTTGGTGAAAACCGATTTTGCTTGTACTGAAAGTAGAAGCCAAATTTTAATGAGCACACAAGTTCATAAGAATTGAGGGAGTGAGGAGTGGGAGTAGATTGTATTGAGTAGGTACTGTGAAAGGAAGGGAAGGAGCCAATAGTGATGGTGAATCTCAAAATTTGGAGTTCCAAGGAGAAGCAGACATGAGGGATTATCAGCGGATAGAGGTGCCTTTTGAAACAGGAACTAAGGAGGTAAGTAGTCATAATGGGTATGTCTGTGCATGTGTGAGAAATTTAGTCAATTTATATGTTTGAGAAGAGCGATCACTCTACAAAAGTAAAAATAACAGGATCTCTGTATTGGAAATTCTATTGGAAATTCCTGTAAGTGCTTTCCGAGCTAATTTGTTATCCCTATTTTACCGATTGGGAACTTCAGTTCATAAGTCGATCAAAATCAAATTGCAGAGACCAACTCATGACTGCGCAGTTCTAAGTCCAGGCTTGGGTTGAAGTCAGCAGTGAGTAACCCGACGTTGCCCGGGGCCAACGGCAGAGGACAGGGCTGGAACTACACTTCCCAGTGTGCCAGGCGGGGCGGGGCGCGGGCGGGGAGGGCGCAGGCTCCTTCCCAGAAGCAAAAGCGGAAACAAAAGAGTCTCGCCGGCGTCCTCGCCCGCACACTCGCGCACACCCGCGCTCCGGCGCACACGGAACAGGCACCGGCGCCCGGAGCGAGCCAGCGAGCCGCGAGCAGCGAGCCGGGGACCCCCGGCTGAGCCAGCAGAGCAGCCAGCGAGTCGAGCCCGCGACGACCCTACGCCCCCGCGCCCCGTAGCTGCCCCCAGCCGGCCGGTGTCCCCGCCGCCCTCCCTGACCCATGGCGCTGAAGAGGATTCAGAAAGTGAGTGCCCGGGCCAGGCCTGGGGCGACGGGGCGCGCTTCGGCTCCCTGCCCACACTGACCCCGGCGATGGTCCCGAAAGACGCGCCGGGAGGGCACGGGATGGGAGGGTGCGCGGGGATCAGGGGGCCGGAGATGCCGGCGGGGCCAGCGGGCACTGGACAGGTGAGGTGGGAGCAGGGGCAGGTCCCGGGTGGCTTGGAGGCGGGGGCCCCCTGCGCGCTCGCGCCGGAGCTGCGCCGGGAGTCCCTGGGTGGAGATCCTTCTCGGGCTCCAGACCTTCCCCAAATCTGTGCTTTACCGTCACGGCTGGATTTTGCCCTACACTGGTCTAGTTTTGGCTCCTGTCATGCTGTGTTTTCTCCACGCCCGTTCTTTTATGTTCTTGCTTCCCCGGGCTCCCGGAGAGGGCAAGGAAGGTGTGGTGGGCCTGCGGTCTTTCTCCTCGGTGCTGTGGGTTTGTTCTTTTTCTCCTCTGTGGTTGGCTCCTGCTTAGATCCCTGAACGGGCTGGAAAAGCCCATTTGGGGCCCAGAAGCCAGGAGAAGCCTCTTGCCTCTTCTATTTTGGTGCCTCTTCTGCTGCCACTTCAGGTCACATAGCTGTAGTGAAAACATAGTTGCTGATACACAACAAGATGACCTCCTGGCTGTGATTCATCGTGAGTCAAGCCAAACAGGTTTTTTCCCCCCTCATGGTAAACTTACATGTAAAGTTCGAGACACAACAGAAACTGCCACAGTATAAGTTGTTTGATGCTTTGACACATGAGAATAGAATGAAGAAGAAATGTATATATTCATTCAACACATATTTATCCATCCCAAATCTGTAAGGAATTGCCTTCTCTTGCATAATACTGTATTTATTGCTACTCTTTCAGATGTGAACATCTTACAGAATTGGGGTTGGGGCATTTTTTTTTTTTTTCTGTTCACTTTTATTTCTTGTTGAGTTATGGGTCTGTTCACTGACAGGTTTTTAAAAGGTTTACAGTTATATGGAGAACACTGAGAATTTATTTTTAAACGGGGAGTGTTTCAGTAAGTTAAGCCAACAACAGACAGCATGTCTGGTAAATAATTTTAGAAGAAATCAATGCTACAGAAAAATTCTATTAACTTTTTAAGGCATGAAGTGATGGAGATATGTACATTGTGTTCTCAGTCATAACTGGTGGCATCTTCTGGTACAGAGGACAGCAACTTTCAGGTCCACCCTCTTTTGTTGTTGCTGTTCAAACACTGAATCCATAGAATACTGTTTTTGTGTGTGTGTGCCATTTGAGGGTCTTCTCTCTATAAAACATAAAGCTAACAATCCGCATTTATTGATTCATGTTTTCTGATTTGAAGGTAATGCAGTTACACATTCAAAATTACTCTAATTTCAAAGCCCTTATCAGCATCTTTGTCATGACTTGTATGCTTATTAATAATATGTAATATTGGCTTACATTTGAATTAAACAATACACCTATTCCAATGGGGCACCTGGATGGCTCAGTCATTAAGCATCTGCCTTCGGCTTGGGTCATGATCCCAGGATCCTGGGACCCTGCTCAGCGGGAAGCTGGCTTCTCCCTCTCCCATTCCCCCTGCTTGTATTCCCTCTCTCGCTGTGTCTCTCTCTCTGTCAAATAAATAAATAAAATCTTAAAAAAACAAAACAAAACAATACACTTATTCCAAGGAAGTTTTAAAATTCTATTTCCTTCTTTCCTACTTGTGAGAATTCTTCACAAGACTTTGCATATACAATAAATTTTAAATAATGTAGAATTTATCCACAGGCAGTAAACATTCAAAGAAAATGGACACTATTTGTAAATACTTTACTGGGCAATTGTCAGTCACCAGGCCGAATATTTATAATATGGAATATACCCAAATCATATTTTTATTAACTATTAGTTATTATTAGTTTATAACAGAATTGTTTGGTTAAAAAAAAATCACATAGAATTGATGTTAGGCCTGTAACAAATTGATATTTTGGAGAATAAATTGGGGATCACATAACATCCCATCTCTGTGTGCCAGTCTTTGGCTTCCCTTTCCTGTTATCAGAAAAGTTGACTTGCACAAATCTTCTTTCCACTAATCACATATCGCATGTTCATATCATTCCCTCATACTTTAAGGGGTGTTATTTTGTTTGATTCTCCGCTTTTCCTACTGTTTACGCCTCCTTGATTAGAAGCCAGTTCCAAGTGGCTCAGTCGTTGGGCGTCTGCCTTTGGCTCGTGTGGTGATCCTGGGGTTCTGGGATCAAGTCCCGCATCGGGCTCCCTGCTCAGCAGGGAGCCTCCTTCTCCCTCTGCCCCTGCTTGTGTCTCCTCTCTCGCTGTGTCTCTCTCTGTCAAATAAATAAAAATCTTAAAAAAAAAAAAAAAGAAAACAAGCCAGTTCCAAGTAAGGTATATGCTTTTTGCCTTATGAACAGTTACAAAGCCTTCTTTGATATCATCAGTATATAAATTCTTACTTGAATCTTGCATGTTCCAACAAAAGAAGATACATATTAACTTTTGGCCTTTCTTTTTAAGTGTATTGGAATAACACTATCAGATACCTTCTAGGTCATTGGGTTGTACTTTTCCTGTACCGAAAGTGGCAGGCCTTAAAGCTGTGCAGAACCTCAGAGAACTGCACTTTGGAGTTGAGTGGAGGGCAGGGGCTGGAGCCAGCGTCTAGGGTAGTGTATCGGAAATATTTGTGGGACATTTTCAGACCGTCCCCACTGCTGTAAATGAAAGATGTGGAATCCCCCAGATGGGCTGGGGTGGAAAGAAGGTTGAGAACCACTGATGTTCTAGTCTGTTATTCAAAGAAGGAATCTGAGGCGTGGAGTGAAGGAGCACTTTGTCCAAGTTAATCTCTGAAGAAGTGACTTGCATATTTGAGAATGTTAAAAAAAAGTTCATTACTTCACATTTTTTCCACTTTATATGAAATGATTAAAGATGGTTAAATTAAAATTGTATATGCAAAGCATGTAGATATCAATGCTTAAAATACATTTTTATACTAGAGTATGCTAAATGATTTCATGCTCTTTAGACATCCAGTGCCAGTTTTGCATTTCAGCTCATAAATTTACACACCCATGCCCTATTTTTTGGTTACAGTGGAAGATGTTATCACAGTCACCTAAATCACTAAAGGGAAAAAGTTTGAACAAAGTCTGAGGAAAGACACAAAATAGGTTTGAAAAAAAAACGATAGTTTTTCAGCTGGGCATCTGTTATTTTCTAGAATTATTTCTAAGTGTTTCTTTTATCAATGCTATTTTTAATACTTGATAAACTTTTTTGGAAATCACTTTAAAATTACGAATGTTATAATACTGAATGTTTTAAAACCAAGAAAAGAAAGATCCTAATTTGGTTATTATTATCATCTTAGTATATTTCTTTCCAGACTTTTTAAATTTGATAAATTGAAGTAATGATCATCATAGTAACATGATATGATGGGCTTTATTGCCTTTTTGGTCTTTTGAAAAGTGAAGCGAAAGAGTTTTGTTTTACAAATATAGCAACACAGATAACTACTCCTCAGTGTACAGTTCTGTCCTCAAAATGGAATATTTGCTTTTTTAATAAGCAATTTAACTTAAAATGTATATATAAACAGATTACAACTTTATAAATGTTTTGTGCTGAATTTTTTGATTTGTACAATTCCACATTAAACTCTACATCCGTCTAGAAAACCTTTAGGATACTTACAAAAACAACCCAGCCCTTTGTGGATAGAGCATCAAAGAGAAGAAGATCTGGTTTTTATTTCTGGCTCTGTGATTTACTAGCTTGTTTCCCTATCCATGCAATGGTACTATGCTAAATACAACCAGCAAATATAATATATAATGGTTACTCTGTGATAGATGCTCTGCTGCGCGTTTGACATAGATTAATTGATTTAGTCCTTAGTGGCCCAAGAGGTAGAAATGATTGTTATCCCCATCTTATAGATGATGAAACTGAGGCACAGAAATGTTGGGTAATGTACCAGAATTACGTATCTAGTAAGTGGCAGTGCTAGGATTTGAAACCAGATAGATGGCTTCAGATTCCATGCTCTTAACCATTTTAGGACATGGCTTTTTCTTATCCAAATGGACTCATATCTGTTGTATTTAAATTGATAGACGCATAGAGTTAAATGAGTTTATGGGTGTAAGTGCTTTGCAAACTGGACTGTTCTATGCACATGTAAAGTGGCATTATAATTAAGACTTTGGCATATTTAATCATGCATCACTCAGTGTATTGATTGTGCTTTGTAAACCTCTGCTCTGAAGTAATGTACACTAGATCACTGAACATGGTAAATGAATAATATAACTTTATTTTTGTTCCATCACTTAAAATTTTTCTCCTCCAAAGGGATTTAGAAAAATTGTAATTTATAAATGTTCTGTCAAAAGTATCATTTCATTGTGAAGTTTTCATTTGAGAAAACTATTTATGAACTGATTTAGCTATTTAGTTCCTCTAGTGGCTTTGAATAGCAGTCGACTGTTCAGATTGCACAAATACGTTAGGAAGACTTGAAGATTGCAAAATTAAATCTAAGATTCCAGATTCTTTCAGAAAAAAGGATATAGGTTCAACAAATTTTTTAAAGGAAGAACATAGTATTTATGCTTCACGGTAGATAAAGTGGTTTGCCTTGAGATGAAAGGAAGAAAGTGTTTTTTTCTAAAAAGCCATCATATGAATTTTTCTGCTTTTAAATCTTTGTAATTAAGCTCAATCTTCTTTTGCCCTGGGTATCATGTATTTTTCCTTCTTCATCACAACAGAGGTGTTAAAAAAAGAACAGTTCTGAGGTTCCTTCTCTGTGGAAATAAATAGCATAGATCTAAATAAGGCTGTTTATGCCTATTTTAGGAAGCCAAACACATTATAAAAACCAACTTAACAGGATGTGGGATTGCCCCCAGTAAAGCAGGGTAGCATCCTTACTTGTTTTAGTTCCCTGAAATACACATTGAAAACATATTTAATGAGTGCCACTAATCAAAATAATAAGCCTGATACTCTCCACTAAACTGAATTAATGGTTGTCTGTAATGTATTAGCTCTCTTCCCTTCCCCAGTTCTTTTTAACAGTGGATGAACTGATACTATGTTTAATTAAAAACAGGTATTGAGAT